ATACAAAGAGATCAGGCACAGTATAGCCTCTTACATTTTAGCTTGAATTGATTTATTTAATTAAAGTATAGAGACCAAAACAGATCTTTAGCTGACAGAGCAATACATTTAGAGCAGTAATTATAAAAAAAAAAAAAATTGCATTTAAGATAAAAAAATAAAATGTTGTCTGTCAATATGCTCAATTCACAATTACTTAAGTGGAAAAGTTTCAAGAAATGAGTCTGAGATGATTCACTTTATAACATGGCGCATTATCCTGTTGGAAGTAGCCATCAGAAGATTGGTACACTGTGATCATAAGGTCCGGCCAGGTCAAGATCCGCAATTGCAATCGCACCAAACAGGAAAAAGAACATCGACAAATTCCGGTTCGTCAAATTAAAATATAGCAGCAACAGATCGGTGACTAGAAATTATAGCACAATTCTTATATATTAAAAAAAAAAAATAACACAGTTTATTTAAATGATTGGATCCAAACTATTGGTTATTCACCAACGAGGAAGCAGATTTCTCATCTCCATCAAAATATTTATTTTATACCGAGGGACTTAAACTTTAATCAAATCCATTCAAAAGAAACTTCTTATTACAGGAATGAAAAGAGATGCTGAGTTTGGGAGCAGTGAACAAGTTCATTAAAAAAAAGCAGTTTTGAATTATCCTTATCCCCGTTACAAAAATCTACAAAAATATATATATATATATTTGGGCAGAAACTGAACATATGCTGGATGATGGTGGGATTTTTTTAATATGTCATATTAAATTAAGCGCTCACAGGGTTCATACAGGAATGAGTGACTCTAATTTAATGCTATTTCAATGCTATTTGAAATGATTTTAATGCCATCAACAAGAACCATGTACACAAGTTATTAGTGTACATGAAATATGAAGGAGCTGTAAGCAGAGTTCCATGACTCCTGTATGTATGTAAACACACACACACACACACATATACGTATATATATATCCTCTAGCTTTTTCTCCGCCTGACGAAATTGTTTTTATAAGCATTTTTTATTAAAGAATTATAAATACTTCGATTAACATATTTAAATAATTTTAGTGCCAATTAAGGCCTTGATTAAAAAAAAAAAAGAATGATTTTTTAATTATTTTTATTGATCCGCGGAAACCCTGGTTCATCTGACGCATTCTCTTTACGATCTCCAAGAAACTCAGAGCGGAGGGGTCTGCAGCCACAGTGGAGGATGTATGCTTTGCTTTGTGCAGGCGGTCTGGAGCTGAGTATGGGGGATTTCGGGGTAAAACTCCTCTTGGACGCGATGGCGACTCTGCATCGAACAAGAGGAACTCAAAGAAGAGATGCTAGCGGTAAATATATGTTCGATTACTGCCTGCTAGACTAAAAGCAGCCTAGCCTAAGCTACGGCTAATAGCAGCCTAGCCTAAAGCTACAAGCTAGGGCTAATAACAGCCTTGCAAGAACAAGCTTTATTAAAGTGTATTTTTTGTGATTCACAGGAAGCAGTACGCCGTCTTCACAACTCAGAGACTAATTGTAGGCGCTATGAACCGGAGCAAGGGCAAGATTTAAAGAATATGCTTTCATTCTGCGGTAAAAGGCAATGGATACGGATGGATACCGATCATAGCTGTACATTTTGTTTTCACAGACCTCCTATTTGCTCGGAGCCATATCAGCAAGTCCAGATTTGTACGATGTTGATAAAGACGACATTGTGTGTAAGTGACTTGTTTTAATGTTTTCTCCTTCCTTGTTACTGTGACTTGCGTTTGATTTTTTTATTCATACCACTCTCATTTAATTGTTTTCCAGCTGCCTGTAAGACGTATTTTCAAACGGTACGCAGGAGCTTCAGATATACGCAGCCAGCCAGCACGTTGCGTGCGGAGGCTCCTCGGAGTCGGGCCAGAAGAAAGAGGGTAAGACTTTATTTGGTTACTATTTTTCAGGTGCATTAATAGATGTGTTGTGTCCATACGCAGTGCGCTGATTCATTGTTTTTTTTCAGCTGCTGAAAGCGAGGCAGAGTGTGCTAGCAGATGAGGAAGTGGAACTCTGGAAGTCCGCCACCGTCGGCCTTATGTCCGACGAAGAAGATGGCGTCGTTGGCGGTGTCTCTGGATGGATTGTACGGTCGCCGCCATTTCGTAGGCCGGATCTCACTGAACTCTGTGTTAAGCTGCAGTCCCGGTTAGAAGCGATGCCAAAGTACAGGGCCACGCACAGTAGGTGTCTGCACATCGGACCTGCTTCGGAGGGAATGCTGCCAGTAACCTCCAACCCCGAGGAAGCAAACGGACCGTTCATGGAGTTGTAATTTTTAGATACGCATGTGTTTGGATACGCGTTGTATATAGTTGTGTGTGTTTTAATAAAGCTCTTTCTTTGCATAAACAGCTTCCTGGCAAATGTTCATTTCCTGTATAAATTCATTCATGTCCTTGATGGTAGCATAATAATTGTGTAGTAGTGTAGGATAACATAAATACACAGCATATGAATTAATAAATATATGAATAAATAAATATATGAATGAATAAATATATGAATGAATAAATATAGGAATGAATAAATATATATTCATAAATATATATATATATATATATATATATATATATATATATATATATATATATATATATATATATATATATATATATATATATATATATATATATGTAAATTTATATGTAAATATATATATATGCCAACCAATCACGAGCGACTTTACTTGTTTAAAAAGAAGTGGTTCCGTCCAATACTCAGTAAGAAAATTAAAGCCTGGCGTGGCCACGTTTGGTTTTGCTGCCAATCACGAGCGATTTTACTTGTTTGAGAATAGTGGTTTCAGCCAATACTGAGCAGGTTATTCAAGCCAGACCTGGCCAGCCGCGCAGGTTTACTGCATTCATATGCTAATTAGGGCCATTAGTACAGCTGATCGCTCTCCACATACGTCAGAGTCCGTTTCCGACAATTTGTGTTACGACAGGGTTTACGGGGACGAAAATCTCACTTTTCATGCAGTGAAGGTTTTCAGTATATGATAAAAGAAAAAGACTGCTGATGGACTCTCATCAAGGACCAAAATGAAAAACTGGATACGATTTGCAAAGTACACCAATAAAATGTTATTCTAGTAGAGAATTTCAGCTAGATTTTACACAAACAATGGCCTTTTAGCAGGTTGTTTATGCTTTTAAACACCTCCGCAGAACAAAAAAACAAAACACGTCATATGTATTACATGGTATGCATTAGTTCTGTGATTGTGTCGCACTTAACTTGCTCATCAATGACCCCTTGGGTGCTACAGTCTCTTCTTTCCATTTCCCCATGACAGTGACAAATATCTATGCAGAAAAGCCTTTAAATGTTGCCCAACCGGTGGGTTTGTTTGATGAGAAAAGGAATTAAGTCTTGTGAGAATTTAATGTTTCAAACATGCATAAGCATGTTTAAGTGATAACATTTAATTCAAAAGTTTTGCTTTTTTTTATTCCAGCTGTAATGTTTGAGCAAAAAAATCTGTTTGCAACATTTCCTGTATACAGATAGTGCCTGGATGACATATCTGACTCAACACATAGAGCTAGAGTCTGACAATTTTTTTTATTTTTTTATCTAGAGTACCTTGGAATTTACTGTTCTTAAACCTTGCTAGGTTCCAGTTACAGTTTTAAATATAAGATGAGTCACTGAATATTGCAACTGTTGTTTTCTGGGGTCTGCCAGTGCCCAAACCCAGGCCAACAGGAGGCAAGTTTTTTGGAAAGTAAATGTTCAGGTTTTACACGGTATACATACTGAGAACGGTAAATAAAGGAGTAAAATTAGGATAAAAGTTGGACTGTTGTATGACGACTCAAAGGAGTCTTGCAAAAGCGGAACTGAGGAAAGCTGAGGTGATTATCACATCACTTTTTATAATTATCATAAATCACAGCAATCACAATATAGAATTCTAGTAGGATGCACTAAACTAAACAATAAAAGGGACAACTATTGCTGCATTTTATTCTAATCATACTGCAATAAAAGAAATGTCTAAAAAAGCATCAACCGGCATCTATTTTCTGTGATGGAATAATTATAACCATCCTTTAATTTGTATTCTAGGTCCAAGGGCCCCTTGTTTTAAACCATGATTGACATAATGACAATATATTTTTATAGAATAAAAATTCAGATTCGGCAATTGGTGTGTATTTAGTTTCATTTAGTTTATTTGTGGAGCCATTAAATGATTGCTGTCTAAGTGTCTAAGTGTCTAGTGGGTTAGAGCAGTAGCTACCCGGTACAATCCCCAGCCAGCACTCTTGGTTCCTGATTAAAAACCCTTGACCCCACATTGCCCCCTGCTTCCCAGGGGATGGGTTAAGATGCAGAAGTGAATTTTGAGATCAATGATGTTCAATTATTATCATTATTATTAATTTGGCATGGCTCGTGAGAGTTAAAGATCAAACACAAGTATTTCCGTTGCAGTGAAAAGTCTTTTTGGAAAAAATTGTCTACAGCAGCTATTTTCACCATTTAATAAAAACAAGACAGTTATTTACAGTCTCTGGGCTTCTTTTGTTTTCTGCTTAATCTTATTTTATTTTATTCATTCATTCATTCTGGATGTTGATTTTGGAAGTTTGGGGCTCCTTTTCTCATCAGGCAGCTTAGATTTGACCCTCTCTCATATTATCTCACACATTCATCTGGACATCCAAGTCTCCAAGCCTGAGTGGCTCTGACAGGGACGTGTTTATTTATTGTGGTACAAGGTCAGAAATTCAACAACCAGTGACCTTGACACAGCTTCTGACAGAGTGAATGATGCTGTATTTAGGCCATAAGCATGGACCTGTGAATCTGTTCATTTAAGGGCCACAGGAAGCCCTACATGTTGCAGCAAAGATGAAATAGGTCTTAAAGTCTCCTCCAAAGTGGTGAGGTGCAGATCATCATATCCAGCCTCTATCCAATCATGTCTTCCTCCGAGGTAGATCAAGCAAGTGTGCGTAATGCGTTTTAGGGGCGAGACGGAAGGAGGCGCATTTGGGAAATCTTGCTGAATTACAAGACGAATGTTCCCCCTTGAGGAATTTCAGGTCGTCCTTGTGAAAAGCTACCCATGCACGCCACCAACCCCCACCACCACCACCACTCCTTTTGCCTCTCTATCTCCCATTCTCTCTATCCTCCCTGCTTCCCCTCCCCTCCGCTTGCAGATCACCTTATTGGTCGCTGGGATGGAGCAACTGCGCTCAAGCGTGCCGTTAGCGCACCATCATGTCTTTGACCGGTCCGCGTTTGGGATGCTGTTTAAGTCCACGGCTTAGAAGAGGACAGGTGTTAACGCGCCTTGTTAGAAAAGACCGTCGGAAACAGGTTAAGTTTGTGGATTTGTAAGCGGACGGCGCACTGTTGCGGCTGCAGCGGTCTGCATCTGCAGGCGCGGAGGGTTTCCCCCCCTCCCGCTGTAATATTTATGACAAAACGGAGAAGAAATATTCTGGTCACGTTTTGGGCTGACAACCGGCTGTCCTGGAGAGCGCTGGAGTGGATCAGGGGTCCAGTGCTGGAGAAGGCGCTGCGCACAGACACCTGCAGTACAATGTAATGGGAATTCCCATCAACCAAACGGGTAAGTTTAATACTTGTCTTTGGCACTTTTTTTTTTTCACGAGACAATGTTTTTCTCTCTCTGCTATAAACTGTATTAATCCGCTTGGGCTGCTGCATTTTTCCCTGCCAAAAGTCTATCCATTCCAATGTGCAAATTATTGTGCACACTGGAACTGGAAACAATAAAGGTGAAGGATTAATCCTTTTAAAATAGAAAATACATGGAAAAAAACTGTTATTTCAAAATCAACTGTTATTTGACACAAAGACTTGCGGGGAGACCTATATGCAACTGTTGGGACTGAAGAAAGGTATAAACACCATCATAAACAGACTTTTAAAGAGGCCATGTGAATCTTTCTATATTATGCGAATGATTGAATTTCTTTGTTAAAAATTAAACAATATTTAAGATAATAAGAAAATAAAAAATGACTTTTTGTTCATATACTCGATACGGTCCATTTTCAGTGATCTTTCTGCTTCACGCGCGATGCTGGCTCCTCTGATCATTTTAATTGCAGGATCTCAGTCGACGCAGTGATGTTGTTTTTTTTTTTGTTTTTTTTTACATTTAATGTTTTGATCTCGTAAAACTTCGGATTTAAGCCTAGCCATTAGTTGGTATTACCCAGATCAGTAGGCTAATCGTTGTTTATATTTGTTTACCTTTAATAACTTAGTCTGAGCCAGGGGTTGTTTTTGCAAGAATTGACTCAGGGTCCCACCGAAGGCTCACGCCCCCCTTTTGGCACTCATTGGAGGCCCATCTATGTATGCAAATAGAAGTTTTAACTAAAAAAGAAAGAAAGAAAGAAAAAAAACATTATATTTTGTTCTCATAAAACCCACTTTCTCTGGCCCTCTTTAGATGATGATAAGCTTATTTAACCCATTAAATAAGGATTAGTGCATTAGGTGCAAAGGGTGTTTTTGTAGAAAACCTGTTCTCCCCCCATAAATGTTTTTTTCTTTTTTTTTTTCGTATGAATTTCTTAACATTTAGTTTTGATGTTTGCTCTTATGACACAGAGCTTCAAAATGCCCACCTTATGCTCATCTCATTTATTTGATTTAGCCTGCTTTTCAGTGGATCAAGTGCAGTCTAAATTCCTAAAAATCTGGACTTCTCTTAAAGCTACAGTGTGTAATAATTACAGGCATATAAATTCAGAAATTTAATATATTATACATAACTATGTTATTTATCATCACCTATGAGCTCAGCCTTTTAACCATAACATTTGCGTTGCCTTAGAATTCGTTATTTATAATTACATAGGAGCGGGTCTCGCAGCCATGGAGGCTGACATCTTTGCGCTACGGCAGCGCAGAGGCAACAAACTAGCGATTGCGAGATCTCCCATGACGCTCGAAAATAACTACGGCAAGTTGAGAGAGATGAACTGAGACGGTACTGAACAGTAGATGGCAGTATTATGCCTGAGAAGCGTTTAGTCTGCCTGAAACCAAAGAAGAAGAAGAAGCAGGTATACTGCGCCTCGGTAACAAGAAAGGTAAACAAGGCGGCAGGCGTGAGTGACTTTGCAAACTGTTTGGCACTGTGTGGCCAAACATCAGACGAATGGAGGATCATGCCTACTCTGTATCACAACGAAAAGCGGCGGACACCGAACCCCCGTCATCTAAGAAGCGGAAACACGACGAGAATAAACGCAAGAGTGACAAGAAACGACAAAAAACACGGATCAACATTGGCACGGCATTTACACGATGGAAGTCACTGATGGAGGAAAAAGGTTTTCAAAGTGACGCTCAAGTTGCCAGTTTTCTCTTGGACAGGTAATTAATCCTATACACACAATTGTCTAATATCACTGCAGTTTTTGGAGTACAGGATGCTCAGACCTGTCTAAAACAATAACATGCTGCGTGATGATGCTGTTACTCTCCAGTATACTTATTCAGCAACGTCCCTGACGTTTCACAGGTAATGATTCAGTAATTTTCTGTAAAATAATTTTCTGGATATATACCTCGGTTACTTCTCTCCGGCTCCTTTGGAGATCTTCAAGCCTTTCCTCCTCTGCTCTCACCCCGCTGGCTCCCATCTCTCGCCTGGCCCCAGCTGCACGCTCACCCCGGCCTCTCTGCCCTCTTCCTTTCCCTCTTTCTTGCCTTGTAACCCCCGTGCCACAAACAAGACTTGGACTCTGTAAACGGGGAATATATATTCTTCCAGCGAACACAATCTCACTGTTAAACTAATGACTACAATTACTTCGTCTGTTTATATCACCATGCAAAGCAGCTCACCAAAACGTCACAACGACGTAGAAAAAATAACGGGTATATTTATTATCTTAAGTCTACATGAAATCTATACCCTACACAGACTAATGAAATACTATCTGTAAAATTATCTATGTAAACAAACCTCATCACTTGAGAAGGTAGGTGATGCGGATGTCGTGGAAGACATTTTGTCCCGTAACGCTCGCCGTACTGTTGGGGGGGAGAAGCGGTGGGGGGGAGACGTTCATGTTGCTGCAGTCTGCAGTCTGACCGCTAGATGTCGCTGAAAATTACACACTGTAGCTTTAAACTTTTGACTCGTTGTTTTAAACTAACAATATTCTTCTTTTCTTTTCTTTCTGCATTGATCTCTGGTTCCAGTGGGGTGAAATAGGCACTTCCTGTTGTCATGGTGACTTGTTGAATCGGTGCTCCACTGATAATGGCTTTTCATACTTGTTACACACGTGTTCATCTTTGAGTTGATTGAATTAGCTAGCTCGACATTAGGCTAGATCAATCTAAAGTTGGGGCTTCAAATAGGAGTTTGTTAAAACTGCTTTGTGAAATGGACCTCTGTACTTAAAGCTACAGTGTGTAATAATTACAGGGATATACAGTCAGAAATGTAATATATTATACATAACTATGTTATTTATCATCATCTACGAGCTCAGCCTCTTAGCCTTAATATTTGCGTTGCCTTAGAATTCGTTATTTATAATTACATAGGAGCGGGTCTCGCAGCCATGGAGGCAGACATCTTTGCGCTACGGCAGCGCAGAGCCAACAAACTAGCGATTGCGAGATCGCCCATTACGCTCGAAAGTAACTACGGCAAGTTGAGAGAGATGAACTGAGACGGTACTGAACAATAGATGGCAGTATTAAAATTATCTATGTAAACAAACCTCATCACTTGAGAAGGTAGGTGATGCGGACGTCGTGGAAGACATTTTGTCCCGTAACGCTCGCCGTACTGTTGGGGGGGAGAAGCGGTGGGGGGGGAGATGTTCATGTTGCTGCGGTCTGCAGTCTGAACGTTAGATGTCGCTGAAAATTACACACTGTAGCTTTAAATTGAAACCTCAAATCAGAAACTTGAGTGTCACTGGTCGGATCATGTACGGTCAAATTTCCTTTCAGCCCCCAGTTCCCAGGAACTGGACCTCACAAGAAAAAAAAATAAAATAAAACAGTACAGCCTCAACCTCACTTGCTTTAGAGTCACTTCCTTGAGCAACACTCTAAGTGTGAGCCAGATTAAATCTCCTACATTTAACAATGCCTGAGGTCAGAGTCAATTAAGGATGTATTCCATTTTTTTTTTTTTTAAGAAACACTGTGCAACTTGTAGCCATAAGGGGCACTAGACCTGTATCGTTCAGGTTTAGCACACCTGACAGTAACTGGCAACTCTGCATTGTGGCAAAAGTAAACAGTTTCCCTTGGTCTTTTGGAATCTGATAGCAGACCACTGGACCAGCAGATTCAAAAGTCCTGGGGTTAGTGGTACATTCAAGGCCACATTCACCCCTCTAAATTAAACCCTACATCAGAGAACTAAAATGTTTCTAATCAGGTAAATGTCATATCTGTTTTGTTGCCCAACAACAACTTTTAGCTTAGGTATCTCTCTTGATTAAGGTGGTCACATGACCATGTCAAGTAACACAGACGGAGAAGGACAGCCTGAGTATAAATATGTGACTAGTACTGCATATTTGCATGAAAAATCAATAACTATGTCTGTAATTAACCAGAAACTTGAGTCTAAACTTACGCAATTATTAATTTAACTGTGTGCAGATGCAGGCTGAGACAAAAGCAAAATTTGCACCTTTCTATGGAAAGTTTTAAGCTTTAGCTTGAAGGTTAAAAACTTGAAAACTCTGCAACCAAGTCAGATGAGATCAAACCCACTGGCTAAATTTAAATACAGCAAATTACAGCCCTTATCTCTTGTCCCTTCACTTTTTGTGGAGTAAGAACATTGTAATTGTTTGGAATGACCTCTGGACATGTTGCCAAATGCTGACACCCCATATCCTTCTGGACGTCATTGTGAAGTTCTGGAGGGCTTTCATTTTGCAATTCCCTACTTGAAAGGGATGACCTCTATATTGAAGTTTTCAACTGGATTTCACCAATAAACAGCCTTTAGATTACTTGGTTTGCTATTATTAGGTGTCTTAAATAATGATTTCACAGTCAATTATGTGAAAGACCTCAACAAAGAGAAAAAAAATGTAAATGTAAAAATTTGAAATCGTTATCAAAAAAAATATGTCTTACCCCTTAGATTAAAATATATATATATCCCAAATTCCTTTTAATTAAATTGGACCATTTGTCATTCGACTTAGTAACCAGTATCGTTTTAGTCAAACAAATCTAAATAAAACGTGTACAGCCAAAGCATCTTAGGTCAAAATTTAGTTGTCAAAGGAGATTTAAGTGGAACACACAATTATATAAGTTAAAGCTCTAGTATTTTTCCAGATGTATTCATGCATTCACACATCAATACATTCTTTTCTTTACCTTAACATACGCCTATTATGTGGCCTTGTATTTCTTAAACCCAACTTATCATACATTTCCTGGGCAAAAGCAAAATGTTTAATATTTCAAAGGGCCTTAATAAGGTTTATGTCTTTAAACAATGATTTAGCATCCGTCAAGTCACAATCAAAGGTAGAAAATTGGCTGTACTTCGGTGTTGTAGTTAGCTTTACTTTTTGCATTGACTAGATTTTTGGC